TCAATTTAATTTAAAAATTTTGACATACTTTTAGTCTTTTTTCCGGATTACAGAAAGCAACAAATTATGCGCCTTATGAGAACAAAGTTAGACATTATAATTCCCGCGTCTTCAAGGGTGGGGAGAAGTTATGTAGACTCCGTTATATAGAGCCTGTAATGCATGAAGTAAGACATACAATTTCCGTTGAATAAACTAAGCAACTGAAAAAATCTAGTTTTTTTTTCTGGTTACCTGAAATCTTTGAAAAACATTTTTTGATTTTACTGTTTTTTCTCTCAATTTCAGCGAAGATCTCTGAATTAAAAAAATTTTTGTGCTGGAATCAATCGCAAAACAATTTTAGCTAGATAAATGGCAAACTTACAAAAGTCCAATTTCCAACCCAAATGCCAGTTATTTTTTATGCGCTATTGCCACTCTCGTTACTGGATAGCGTAATTTGTCTTCTATTTAGCAAATGAGTTTGAATTCAGTAATTGAAATTTCAAACCAAAAAAAAACACAAGAGTCAACATATATGTATATATGTATGTCTTTTTCCAAAAATCTGCCCCACGCAAACTGTATAACGCTTTATATTCATGATTAAGCAGGTACGATGCGCACAAAATATTCCTTAAATTCTTCGAAAATTGGAATAAAAGTAAATGCCGCCAGTGAGGTATGTGAATTAAAGATTTATAGTTTTTTAACCTAAGAGTAGAATGAATAATTGAGTTGAACTTTAAAGATCAAAAAAAAATTTCCTGAAAAACCTCGATGTCATAAAAAATCAGTTTAAAAAAGAGCAAAGAAACAAACAGCTAGTTATAGAAAAGCCTCTTTCGGAACCGAAAAGCCTTTTTCGCAAAAAGTTTTTAGCTTTTTGAAGTTTGGTTTTATTTTCGGTTTGTACATTTAGCTCAAAATGTTCCTCCAACAAAAATTTTTCAAAAGTTATAAAACGCAAAATAAAACAACATCAAAAAATCCCGATAAAAAATGAATTGTTTTTTGATATTTTGATTGCAGTTTATTGGTGATAATATCCAAAACTAGGTTCAAAATGCTTTCAAATTATATTCGAAGGACAGCGTTTTATCATTTTTTGTTGAATTTGATCTTAAAATCAAAACAACAGACTCTAGTGTTTCTCGACGCACAATTTTTTTTTTGAAATTCGAACCCCGATTACTGGGGACTTCAAATCAAAGCGCATTTGAAATTTACGCATTTTTATCAGGGAATTGCAAATTGGTTAGAAAAATGTTCCATTTGTTAGAAAAAAACTCCATAATTCTTTCCCATTACGAAACAAATTATAGGTTTTCGAGTTCACATCGGATGTCGCGATAAGGATGGACAAGGTATTGATATGACTCCTAGACAAGGAATTTTTACTGTTGATCTTCTTAATGTTGTCGAATCCAAAGACCAATAGCTATAACATTGTACTGCTCAATGTAGTGTCTCAAATGGCACAAATTGTGAAATCAAGAGTAGTTTGCGGAGTTTGTTGGTAAAAATTTATACAAGAGCGCAAGTGAATTGTATAACTCCAGTTTCGCGGAAAAGTTGATATCTGCTTAAAAACATTGTATGCAAAATGTTGAAAACAGTTTTTTAAATAGTAGATACATAAAGGGAACAACTCAAACTCCAAACTACACACAGGCAGGATCAGTTCAGTTTTCTGGGCAAAAACTCTCGACGGATGGGTTAATACAGTAAAACGACATGATAAAGAAATGTGTTTTTTGATCAGTGATTTTTAATTAGTTTTTTTTAAAATGAAATTTAAGCTGCTTTAAATTTAGGGATCTTCTTAACAATTGTCGTCCCCCCTTTTAAGCAAGGAGTGTTTGGGGCGAATGTTAGGAAAATTAAGTTGTCTGATTTTTGACCAATCAGATTGCAGCAAAGTTCGAATTTATAATGCAACGCTTTAGTGCTATTTACTGCTTTCATTTATAGGAGTGACAACTCTTTAGTAGATACCAAAGGGGGGATATCAAAGCTGAAAAAAATTCTGATTTGATTGGAAATTCTAATTAAACCAAAATTCACTTGATTTATATCAATTGCTGATTAGCAACAATACCTGGAAACAATGTGAGAAATCAAATCATACGTCGGTGGTTGAAGAAGTTCATCCATGACTTCAGTTCTGCAAAGTTTTAGAATTGGTTATTGAATTCTTCTGACAATGGTTCAGTCCTTCTTATTTTTTGTTTCGACTTTGAAGAAAGTGACGAAATATTTGTGGGCGGGGTGGTTTTTTTTTCTTCAGAGAAATGTCGACTTTATATCTAGCTATTGCTGACAGAGTTTTTTTTACATCAGTCGAAAAATATTTTTGCCCAGAGCCTAAATTTAAAAAAATATATATCACCTGTGATTATTTTTCGTAAATTTATGGGGGTTCAAACAATGCCAAATTGGCCAATTTAGGACAATTAACGAGTGATATATTTTGCGCTTTTAATGCGAAAGCGGCAATTTAATCCGTCTTAAAAATTTTTCCAAAATTATTGAAGCAGGCTATTTGTCATAAATGCTACGTAGCTGGGAGCTAATTCAATCACTTTAGTTTTTATATGGCGTCTGGGGGATAACAAAAAATAACAAAAGTTTTTTTAAAAAATTTCATGTTTTTTTGAAAAAATCATCAACTTTTTTCTGGTGAACACTACTTCGTAGACCTTAAAATGCAGTCGTAACATTCCGAGCTCTGCCTTGATACGAGCAGTATTGTTTCATTTATTCTTACCATTTTAGCTAAATCATAATTTTTTAGTGGAATAATTGTTTTTCATTGGTGCTAGCTTTTTATTGATCATGCTTGAACTGGTTGTATTGAACTTTGGTTGTGCTTGAACTTTTTATTGATCATGCTTGAGCCTCTATTCTAATAAAAAATATTGGAATTCTTACCAAGCCTGCTCTACTTAAAATGGGCGCTACCAAAGTTAGATACTTTACTAACAAATGAGAAAACCGTTAAAAAGGGAATAATCAACAAGTTGTTATATCCGCTCATTGCGCATTCCCCGAAAAAAAAGAAGTTTAACGACCAAATTTACAATTGACATGCTTCTATTTTGACATTTTTCCAGTCTTTTCCCCGGGTTCCAGAGACCCGCGCAACAAGTAGCAACTTACAAAATCTAGTTTTTTCTGGTTAGCTGAAATTGCAGTTAGAAAATTCCTGCAAAACCCCAATCATTTTTATTTTTTTTTTCTATCAGTTTTTATCGATCATCTCTGAATTTCAAATAACTTTTTTGTTTGACTCTTAAATCGCAAAATAAATTCAGCTCGAGAAAACTGGGTCAATAGGCATTGTTTTGTTCTACCTGCAAACCTACAAATATCCAACTTCCAACCTAAATGTCACTCAATTTATATCCGCGGTTGCCACTCTCGTTATTGGAGAGCGTAATTTGTCTTCTTTTTAGCAAATGAATTTGAATTTAAATTTTAAATTTTCAAATTCAAACCAAAAAAATAGACAAGATTCGACAAGAACGAATTTTAAATTTTTTTGCTGAAGTCAAAAAACTTAGTTTAGTGACTCTTAGAAAAAAAAGCTTTTTGTTCAAATCATTCAAAATTTGGCTTTTTTTTCAAGTTTTCCATTAGAATTTTGAAACGCACATTACAAAGTCGTTCCAAAAGGACAATTGATACTGTTTGATGTGGTAAAACGCGTGAGCGGGAACAAAAGAACACATTGTTACAACAATTATTCATAGCAAATTGCTGTATGAAAAGTTGTTCACAATTGTTTTTGTAATTTTACTGCGATATTGAGGAGCTGTAAACAGCCCAAATTTTATTTTTTTTTCATCTAGGAAATTTTTTGCGTTCAATTTTTGTTTCTGCTACTTGCACGGCAACCGGCTGTTCATGTTTGCTTTTATTGTTCCGACTTTCGTAACGAAAGTAACAGAATATTTGTGCTCGGGGTGTTTTTTTTTCAAACAAAATTCGACTTTTTAACTAGCCATTTTTGACGGATTTTTTTCTTTATTGTTCAAAAGATAATGTTGTCCTGGAGCTTAAATTTCACCTGTGATCATTTTTTGTAAGTTTATGGAGGTTTAAATATTGTCATCTTGGCCAATTTGGGAGAATTAACGAGCGATATATTTCGCTCTACTAACGCGTAAGCGGAGATTTAATCCGTCTTAGAATTGTTCCAAATTGGCTGAAGGACGCTTATTTGCCAATTTGATTTGTTAATGGAAGCAAAATTTATCACTTTCTACTTTACATGGTGTGTGGGGGATGAAATTCACAAAAAATTCTCAAATTAAAACAAAATTCGTTTTATTCTATTACATTTACTCTTCTCATGTTTTTAACTGCTCCATAGACTTTCAAAAGCAGTGGGAGCATATAGGGCTTCGCTCTGATACGAGCAGTCTTATTCTCAATCTTAATTATAAACTGAAGTTCTTGATGCATCAAAAAGGCAAACAAGACTGCTCGTATCTGGGCGATGCCCTGAATGTTCCGAATGCTTTTTAAGGTCTATGGAGCAGTAATAACATGAAAAAATTAAGTATAATAAAAACAAATTAAATTCTTTTTTTTTTCAATTTGAGATTTTTAGAAAATCATTGCCACACATGCCATCTAAAGTACAAAGTGATAAATTTCACTTCTTTCAACCAATTTGGGACGATTTCTAACACTGATTAAGTTTACGCTTACGCGTTCATAGCGCGAAATATATTGCGCGTTAATTGTCCCATATTGGCCAAAATGGCAATCTTTAAACCCCCATAACTTAAGGAAAAAAGATCACAGGTGAAACAACTTTTCAAAATTAAGCTAAAAACAACAATACCTTTGGAATGATATTTAAAAATTCTGTCAAAAATGGCTAGTTCAAAAGTTGAAATTTTACAAATAATGCGTTACTTTCGTTATGAAAGTCGGAACATTAAAAACGTGTTACAAGTTAGACCAGACATTTGTTGAATCTAATATTGGAAAGCTAGATTGAATAAGGTTAAATTTCACCACAGAACGCATCTCTGATATACTGAAATTCACGCACACATTTACTGATTTTAATTCTGTCCGATAAATTTCAAACATGTTAGAAATTATAGTGAGAATTTTCAAATTTACTGGATGGAAATCAATTTACTGATTCATTGTCAAAAAGAATTAAGCAGAGTGATTTGAAAAAGCGATTGAAGAGAACTGGCGAACTGGTTTGAAGATAATCATATAAATTTTAACTATCCACAGAAACTTTAGTGTTTCTTCGTTTTTCTTTTATCACCTCCAAGTCGGAATATTTCTCTGTCTTCTTTGATTTCTTCTTAGAGGGCACAAAAGGCAAACTTCTGAATGTTTGGGACCCTTTAGATCTTGCATCTTTATCGTTTGTATTAGTCGATTTTTTAGTCTTTTGAACAATTTTTCTTGAATCTTTCGAGCTGTTTTTATCATTTTCTGTTGATTTTGCTACAGTGCTTTTAGGTGCGGTATTTTTGGAACTAGCTTTATTACTTCCATTTTTAGGGTTTTCCTTTTTGCGATCAATTTTAATCGGTTTTTTGTTCATGCATGCAATAGATGTCCTTTTCTTTGTTTTAGGGGTTGATTCGCGATCACCTTTGTTCACTGCTTTGTTAGACGGGGAGGCGTGCCTGGACGGGTGATTCTTAGATTTTTGGTCTGCCGGTATTACTTTCCGTCTTACTCTTCTGTACTTTTTCGTGCTGCTTTCACTTTTTCTTCTCGATTTTTTCGAGATGTGAGATGATTTTATACTGCCTTCAAATTCGGTGATAGATGAAGACGAGGAGGATGACGACGATGACGTTGATGATATTTCGTCTAATTCGATAGTTGGCTCCAAACTGATTTTACTATTTTTCCTTTTAGTCCTTTCTAACCAGTAACCATATAACTCAGTCTTCACCGCTCTTCCATTTGAAGTTACCCAAAGTTTTCCCACATGAATTTCATTGACTTATCTAAAAAATATATCAAAAAGCCGTGCGTTGATTATAAGAATGCTTTATTTTCAATTGACAAATTCCTCCAAAACTTGTCAAAAAATTTTTCACATCTTTACTAGTGTCTTTTTCCAAATTTCTTGTTTTTTTATCGGCTTTTTTCATGCGGGGCTTCGCGATTTTAAATACTCGCAGTACTTCATTGAAAACTTTAAACTTTCAATTTGAATTTCGGGCTTAGGTGTTTATTATTCGATTGGTTACGACGAGTTATATGGTTGTTGTATATGTTGCAATATCAAATAAATGAGCTCGAGGCTGATATTAATTCTCTATTTTGCGCTGTTTTGATCTGTTTTAGCCGATGAGTGTGTTGCGTGCATGCTTACTCACGAAATAGCATTGGCACCTCGTGTGGCCCTGCCACTGGTCTTGCGCTTGACGTCCTGTGTCTTGGCCATGAGGTGCGGTGCCTCTTCGATGATCACCATCATCAGCTTCTCCCGATGTCGCATGGAGTCCACCAAGTGTTCCTGTTGGACCTTGGCGTGTCCAATCAACACTTGGTAGTTCTGTCGCATCTCGTCATCAGTGCCTGAAAAAATGGAAGCTGACTTTGAAAACCTTATTTTTCGGAAAAAATTGGAAATCAAAAATCATTTTTCCTTCCTTTAACTTTATCTAATTTCCGAACAGCACACTCAGTCTTCAAATTCTACCATTAAAAAAAATCGGAAGAATCTTCTTCACGTCTGTTATTCAGGACTAAACCCAACGGATACCTGAGACTGCTGTAGTCTTCAGTTTTAAGATTCCCAGATGACTGGTTTTCTCAATTTATCTGACTTGCAACTCATCTACTACTCTCAGGCTGAAAACTAGTTCACCTACCTCGTTCTAAAATGTGTTCGTGGTGAGGGAAGTCTATCTCGCCAGTGAAGGCCTGCATGGAGTCCCTCTTGGAGCTGCCATGGTACTCGGAACCCCCTCCCCCACTCACACTCGAGTTAGTGCGGGGCACGAACTCCGTATAGATCGATGTCTGGCTCGGTCGAGTGTGGCCGGGTACTAGACCTAAAATTGAATGTCTCAATTTTGTACAGAATGCTTCCACAGTGGAATTCTACACCACTAAATTTCTCATTTTTGAAACTTGCCTCTGAGAGCAGTTGTTCAACTCTCCGCTTTTTGCGCTTTTTCTATGGCTATTTTCTCTCATTCCAATTTTAACTGAAGGATATAGACTTCAGATTTTATTGCAAAAAAGGTTGAAAAGACTAAAAAAAAACTAGTTCTTTTTGAACAAAAATGAGTTTTCTTTCAAGATGAACTGATTAACCCACATATTAGAATAATTTTTTAAATTAGATAATTTAACCATTTTCATATTGTATAAATAGAAAAATGTTGAAATGACGTCTCGTAGATGAAGACTCAACTTCATTTGCTCTTTGCGAAGCTTGGGACTAAACAGTAAAAAGCTCAGTCGACTTTCTCTCGATCTTTTTGGGAAATTTAATCACGACGAATAGCTATCACCCTTAGTATCATGCCACGCTTGTCTCTTCACGAGCTTTCTTTCAGGTATCTAACGTGCTTCTTGAATTGGTTGGAACAAATACTAAAATTCAACCCATTTTTGGATTTTATCAAGATTACTTCAATTTAGCCTAATTTTGTAAAACTGTAGAAAATTTAAGACAAAATTCAGAGGAAAAAACGGCGGGATAGGTTGTTTGCTTCGAGTAGGGAGGAACTTTACAATGGATTTTAAATGGATTATTATCCATTATCAAGGATTTTAATGGATTGTGTTTTCACGAAAAAAAATAGACGGTACGGGCAATACAGGACCGCTGGCACAACATAGAGGCCTCGAATGTTCCAATTGCCCTTTAAACCAATTAGAATATTTTTAGTTGAATAAATAATGAATAATTGAAAGTGAATTCTTTCAAAAAAATTCTTCATTCTGTGACCTCCAGCTCTCACTTGACCTCCAGCTTCAGGTCTACCACAACCTGACCAAATTTGGCTGCAATAGTGGTACCACGTAAAAAGTTCTAGACGCAAAAAAACGGCCTTGAGTCGCAAAAAAAAACAGCTTCGCTCAGCTAAAATAACTGTCTGGAATGTGGGGAGATAATACAAATGGACTATCCTCGACAGGACTGTTAAGGCCTACTGATAGCTCCTCTGCGATTCGCAGGAACTACAATTATTATGATTATCATTATTATTTTTTTATCATTATTATTATTATTATTATTATTATTATTATTATTATTATTATTATTATTATTATTATTCTATTCCGCTCATACGCCAAGCAAAACAGAAAAGCTCTTTTAGCATTTGGCTTTGTTTTAATAAGACTAAACTGCTAGGCTCATTTTAGTTAGAAAAATACTAATTCGCCGCTTGCGCGTGTTATCAGAACGCAAATATATGGTAGGTTAAGAATCCCAAGTTTGCTGAATTAGCAAGTTTTAAGCCCCGGTACCGAATTATAATTACAGGCAAACAACTTTTTAAACTGCAGCTCAGGTCAGCATTTTTTTTCAGATAGTATATTTATGGAAAGGGTTCAAAATAAAAAAAAATACCGAAAGCAGTAATCAAAATTCTTCGAAAGTCGGAACAGTAATCGATTTCATCGTGTAACTTATTAACAAAAACTGATTATAATGACAAAAATTCATACAATAATTTTCACTAATAGCAATTTTGTCCATGAAGTTCGATTGCGGCATGTGCTTTCCCATGACAGATTGAATTGAAACTGCTCATGAAGTTTTTGAACCATCAAGTATCATAAGATTTAATTTGAAAGCTTGGCTTCTCAAAATTAAAACAACGTGAACTTTGCATGAACTTCTGCACCGACTTCGCAATCAAAAGATTTGAGGTTTTCACGGCAGTTTTAGCTGCTTTCATAGCTATCAACCTTAATAATCTAGATTATTAATCTGCCTTCATTTTATCGAGAACATTCCTGGTTTTTTCCTCAAGGGATGTTCAAGAATTAGCTTCTACTTTTAAATCAATTTAAAAAATTGGAAAACTTCCACTAGCCAGTAATTTTTATCTTAAACCAATCAAATAAATCGGAAACTCAGCCTAAAAAATCTAGTCCATAACACTAGTTGAAAAAAAAATTTCAGAACAGAGACAATTTATACACATTTTTTTTGTGGATCCACATTATGTTTGAAAAGGTTGCAATATGGTTAAAATTGGCTAATAGGGCTTTAATACGATATCACATATTACACAATACGAACAATACGAGTGTTTTTTGAAATAGTAAAAAAAACTTCGGATAAAAACGTCTTACGCCATATTCCCTTCCTTTTTAGGGGTTGGGTCGAAACAAATTAATAAGACCCAAAAATGACAAACAGCTAAACAAAATAAATGGGCACAATAATGAAGCTTATGAGAAGCAAAATAGAGAACCTTAATTAATGTTCAATAAAGACGATGAAATAAATATCATTTAGAAAAAGTTTTTGTTCAACAATTTCACCGAAGCCTTCTTATGCAATTATTGTGTGCTCAGGCAAGCGAAAAAGTGCTTGATATGAAAAAAGTAGATAAAATTGAGTGATGTACCATGTTTAACAACTTTCAGTCACTATTAGAACTACCACGTGAAAATTTTTTATAGAGCTAGAACAGAATGGTTTGAATATTTTTGTATTTTTATTTTAAAAAAATATGGCAAAAAGCGAAAAAAATTGTAATTTAAAAAAACCTTCTTAGTACTTCAGTAATACTTTTTAAAAAACCTGTTCAAAAATGCGGTTGATGCAATCAAACCCTCGCCCCTGTAAAACTATTAGAGAAAATTTTCAGCTCAAAGTTCCCTAAAACTTCTGGTATTTTAATAAAAACGTTTACTTTTATTTTTTTTGTTCGTGTTACTCCAGATTTTTTGCAGTTTACACTAAACTCAAAAAACTCCTGCCCAAACCTTACAAAAAACGCGAAAAAAGAACGTTTTACTTTCACAACGAAAGGCTTTCATACTGAACATTGTTACCAAATGTCAAACCGTGGATAGCTTATTTTAATATCTGCCATATAATGTAAGATTTATTGGGAAAAATACCTGAGCTTAAAAAAGTCGAATTTGTTTGAAGAAAAAACCACCCCGAGCAGAAATTATTCGTCACATTCTTCGAAAGTTGGAACAACAAAAATAATATTTATGATATTTTTTTTCAACAGAAATTGCGAGATAGTTTTAAGTGCGGATAAAGTTTCGTGTCATTTCCTTGATAAATATTATCTTGTTTTTTTTTCTAATTTCGTTTAAAAAAGTGTGGTAATATCTGTGTGTTTTTCTCTTGTCAAACTTTGGTTTTGTATCGAACATGTTTTCGGCCATTATTTTGTAGTCTGAAAAAAGTGGGTGCTCTAAGTTTGAAAATAAAATGCTGTTCTCTTTGCGACAATTTTTGCCATTTTGAGTGAATTGTTTTGTGCGAAATTTGATGCAAACTAACAGATAAAAAAATTGAGTTATTGGACGCAAGATTATCACTATGAGCTTGAAATGGCGTGAGCGGAGTTGAAACTTTTCAAATCAAATGATACTTCAGAAACGTTGAACGGCAGCTTGAACATTCAAGCCTTCTTCCTGGTACGAGAGTTTTTGAAACTTTGACGAGGGAATAACCCTTTGAGTTGAATATCATATCAGCTAATAAATTAAACCAAGCTTGAATGAATCATTGTTCGTTCATTCATTAAAGTATGTTGGGGAACTTAGAGTTCAGATTTCCAGTTATCACAAGTTATCTAAATTACACTATTTTGAATTGCTTTAATTTGCCTGAAAAAAGATTATTGATCCATAAAATACTTATTGTTCCTTTTTTCGAGGAAACTGACGGAATTTTTCTGCTCGGGTTGGTTTTTTGACAGATAACAACTTTTGAACAAGCAATTTTTGACACAATTTTTGTATCTTCCAAAAAAAATTAATATTCTGAGTTCAAATTTAGAACGATTTTTCAGCTATGATCAATTTTCATAAAGTTTTGGGGTTTTATAGATTGCACTATTAACTCGTAAGCTAAGATTCGATCCGTCTTAAAAAATTATTCCAAATTGAACTGAAGCAGGCTTACTGCTTGCTAATCGTAAACATCTTTCTGTACTTTACCCAGCGGGGGATGATTTTTTTTCTTACAGAAACTTCCATCAATTTCTTTTAACGAACAAATCTATATAGACCTTAAAAATCAGGCACCCTGGTCGAGATCCCGCTTAAAAATCGCCCAGAATTTGAACGGTTTTAGCAATTTTCCAGCACGATTTGAGCGGTTTGAGAGGTTTGAGTGGTTTGAGCTGCAGCGTTGCGCTGAAAGCATGATGAATTTTTATAACAGAAACAAAGAAAAATGAGGTAGAACAGAGAAATGAACTAATTCATTTGAATCATTGTTATCTTATTCATTTGTAGTAAATTTCTCCTGTCACTAATTATCATTCTGAATCATCAAGTATTCAAAATTATCTGGGTTTTATCAATAACACTCCTTGATATTTTTTTATCCAAAGGCATTCAAGGGCGCTTCAACCGCAATTAATTCTCCATTTATTAGCTAAAACGTTTTCAGGGAAAAAGAATGCAAATTCACAATTTGCGTTGAACTGATTCAGGTAATTTCACAGCGTAATTGACCTCTTTTTACCTTTGAGCGAATCGAATAAAGTAAAATTCGTGATCATTGATGGCAACAAACTATCAAAAATAACATGAAACTTTAGTCAGATCTCTGTATCTAACCCCCCTCCTTTTTACCCGCTTGGTATTGAGAAGTAAACCTCTTTTTTCTTTTGCACTAGCTGAGAGGGCAATAAAACATCCCATTTAATAACAAAAAACTAACTAATTCATTTCAATTTAAATGAAGAACCATATAAAGTCAAATATGAAATTTCATCACTGAACAAAATGAACTGATTCATGTTTAAGCTGACTGTCTTTTTTTGGCAAGTTTTGTTAGCTGGGAGTTCTAGGGCATTCGGAACATTCAGGCCTGGGCCTTGATACGTGCAGT